CCCCAAAAACTGCTGCTGCCTTTGATTTTGATTGAATTTTTTTGCTTCTATACGCGCTGATGGCCATTTGAATTCGATTTTCTTGAGAAAGAGGCATTTTAGATGATGGTGGTGACAAAATGACGCGTTGAAGTATGATTGTTGGAAAATTGCGGAGGAAGTGGACGGGACGGCCGTGTGGACGGCTCGGCCGTGGATTACGTTACAGAGTACATACAGTACAGTGATGAAGCACAATCTATTTATCAATTCATACTATACCAAGTAGAAAACCCAAGACCAAATAGTCAAATGCATGGAGATATACCAACAACGCGTCGCTTCGTCACGCCTGCGATTCAAAGAGACACATACACGGCCATACCGGACAAGTCAAGATATCCACCACGACAGGATGCAAGACGACAACAACAAGCGGATATAGAAACAGAACAGACAGAGAGATAGAGACAGACACATGGCTATGGTCAGATAAGGCATTATGTACAGGAAATGGAAACAGGATATGAAGCCGTATGATGTGGAATGTTGAGAAAAGGAAATGAGAAGGAACGGAAATAGAAACACAATGCACAAGGGGTACTGGAAGAAAAAAAAAAAAAAAAAAGCAAGAAGAGAAGAGAAACAAAAAGAGAAGATCAGGGCTAGAAATCAGTCGGAAAGAAAAGAAAAGAAATATTATACACTGATCGACATAGTAGAAAAAGGGGATTCCGAGACGACATCAGTTGGTGTATCAATCAAACATTACCAGTAGATGAAAATAAAAGAAAGAGGTAAAATGTTTCAAAAAGAAGGGGTAAAGAGAAAAAAGAGAGAAAAAAAGAGAGAAAAAAATCACTCAGGCTCCGAATCCCGCTTACTGCTCGGCCGACTATCATCAGGCGACCGATCATGCTGGTCATCATCATTCGGCGAGACAACAATCGCTGGCGTCGACGGCGGCTGCGAGCTAGCATCATCTGTATTATTCGAATCCGCTGTCCCCGGAGGCGACATTGGATCTGGTTCCTTGACAGACGATAAACCACCAGTGCCATCACCGCTATCCTTGCTGCCGCTGGTGGGGCCATTGCGTCGTCTCATCCGGCGTTTGCGCCGTTCTTCCTCGGCACTCTCTCTCCGTTTTCGCAAACGCTCATTATCCCCTGTGTTG